TGCAACGCTATCTGACGAACAAAATACACCATCAGTAGCTATGGAAATATCTTCATTTCATTGCTTGGATGTTAAAGCTCTATTTTAGCTATACATATCTACAGTTAGCGCCTATGGTATTATTATTAACACAGAACACGTTGAATGTTATTCAGATCTTCACTCGAAGTCTCGTACTGTTATTTTTGACAGTTCATCTCCAGATGAAGAGCACAAATATTATGGACAGGTTTTCACAACACTCCAGGCGCCCAATCTGTACTTGCTAGAAATGTCAACAGATTAACCCGCCATTGTCAATTCCCAATGCTATTTATGGCATTTATAATATTTTGTTCTTTGATCGGAAATCGTTAGAACATAGCTTTTGTGCCTTGGGAAATCTCAGTAAAGCTTAGTTTGTTTTTGTGCTTACATTATACTTTCTGTGCTACATTGTAAGAACAATAAAAGGCCAAAGACCAACTTTTTTGATGACGTACACTCATTTATATAAAAAAAACTTCTATTCCTTTGGTGATAAACAGAACAATAACATAATTACATGTCCATTGTTTCTTAGTTTTCTTTTTGTTTCATTCTTGTTAGTTTCAGTTTCATGCTATTTTCCGATGATTAGAAGCGGATAAAATTACACTTTAAAAACCCAATTCCATTTGCAAAGTAATACAACTAGTTTTTATGTACTGTACAAATAATTTGTCAAGGAAGTAAGAGAGATGACCATAATTTAAAGGTATTCACGAATTCTGATCATATTTGCGTAGAAGAGGACTTCGTCACTATTTCAAGCTTTCTTGTATCACAGAATACGGCGATTTGACTGGATTGTATGTTAAATCGACAGAAAGTCTGTAAGCAATAAGCCATAATGTTCTGCCTTTGCCTGTCTAGTAGTACGATTGGCTGTATTCGCTAGCATACAATCCAATCAATTCGCTGTATTCCGTGATACAAAAAGGTTATTCATGTCATAAGTGTTATGGTATAAGACGAAGTTTGCAATACCTGGGCCATTAGGAAGATGGTCAAAGGAATATTATACAATTCATAGTTTCAGCTTAAAACTAACAATCGACAGCAGAAGATTCGAGATTTAAATCAATAGAAATTGATAATATTGCATCTGGCGGATGTACATAATTTTTACTATTTTTTTTCAAATCATGCCATTATAACTATTGTAATAAATTGTCATGTTGCAATCAGTCATATCATGTTCATTTTCACTCGGAAATAACGTTAGACGTTAGTAGACGATATTTGCGTGAAAATCGACTGTCAAGTGATCTGAAAATACAAACTAGTGATTTACAAGTCAAATATGTCGATGTCAGGATATTTAATGACAGAAAATAATTATTACTGATCAAATAACTTGATGAATTATATCCGATGGCTCACTGCCGATATTAATTAGTTAGACTTATATCTAGTTGACAATGGCTTATTTCAATGACATAAATAAATTGAAAAGGAAACAGAACAAGTTCCTAAATGAAAATATTTGTATTTAGTTAAGTAGTAGTTTGTCGAGGTTAAAGACACGCATCTCTCTAGGATAACAGTCACGAGGGAACTTCTACAAGTTAGAAACCTCTTTTTTCAAAACATGTTGCAAGGGAGCTAAGAAACAATCTAATATGCAATACATGTACAATCAGAATGTTAAGCCCCGTAAACACAAGCTAGTTTTTGATAAGGCAAACAGCTACCTCGTGTGTACGCTTCGACCACTGAAAGTGGTTTCGTAAAAAAAAATGAAAATTGAATCCACGTTTTTTTTTACAACGTTTTCGCGTTGGCCATCGACATAACCGCTGTTTCATTGCCAGGCAACACATTCTTGATGAAAAGAAAACTGTGGCAAAGCTTTAAAAAAGGTAGATTCTGCTTGACCTACTTTTCAGCCTCTAATCTGAGCAAATGAAGACGGGCATTCCAGCTTCTTCAAATTGGTTGTTCTTTTTGTACAAACGTCATTTTAAAGGTCTCTGCGTACAAAGGAATCATATTGAATCTAAAACATCTTTTATGCTGCTCATGCATCTAATGACGCTTCTATCATAAATGACATTTGGTTTTTGTAGATAATGTGAAAGTTGGTTGAAATTATCTGTCTTTCAGTTCATACGTCTTTCAAGTTTTTTTAACAATTATCATTAAGGAAATGTCACATTATGAATTATACTGATATGATCAAATAACAGATATGAAAGAAATGTAATTGTTATTTTAAAGCACTTCACGTTGCATGAAAGTGATATTTTCTCAGATCTGTCCATCATATTTCAAGTTTTTAGCCAGTAGGCCAACAGATACAGATATTTGTCTATTAACAACATACTTTGACGTTGCTTGGTAGTAATGGTGATAAATTGGGCTGAATATTGAGCTCTAAATGACAATAATTCATACTGGAAGGCTATAGGCACTTGATGTAATTGCTTTAGTCAATTGCTGTACAAATATATTACACAGGGAAAATGAGGGATATTAAAGGAAAGATAAGAATAACAGGTAACCGTGGTGCTCTATGATCTATTTTATAATTGCTTTGTTTTTCTCGGTTTACCTTTAAGGTGAAACTTACTGATGTGTTATTACCGTTCATTATCTCCTGCGTGGTTCTTGTAGCTGTATCAATCACTAACCTATTGCTTTCACATTATAAAGGATTCAATGTGTCTCCAAGTCAAGTGTAAACTTAAATGGAAATTTACAAAAAAAAAATTGATTTACAGATTATTAGCATCCTGGTACTCGTATTTCAAAAGGGGTGTCTCAAAGCTTTGATAGTGATATATGAAGCCCACACTTGGACACCTGTACGTCCAATTCGTCTTCAGATGTTGCATTCAGAGAATGTGTTTTCTTTATGTTGAAGATTTTACACCGCCATAAAATCCTATACATTCAAACCTACTCTGATGTAACAATGTACGCTTCATTGCCAAGCCAACAAGCAATTTATTTATGATTTTGGGAATTGGTTGCGAGATAAGGTCGGCATTTAACTGACCCCCCCAGTAGATTAAAGAAACAAACAGACTACAACATAAAAATGCATCAGACATAAAACCGCGAATTTATTGGCGTGGAAATAAAAACTAAGTAGAAATTGTTAAAGTTTTAAATTAAATATAGCAGACTATTGGGTATTAAGACCTCAGGCCTCATTAAGTTTATTGCTTGTACATCTTCTAACGCACCAGAGAAAACCAATATTAATCTCCATTTCGAGATTTTAACTTAAAGTCGGTGTGTGAAAGGCGACATGTTATCAAAATGAATCAAATTGAAACTCTTACAAATATCATACTAAAAGATTCCAGGGAGCGCAATCATGGATTAATCTCGAAGTTCCGTTGCAATAGCTGTCGAAACATGGGTCATTAACCTTATAAATGGTCGAGTTTAAGAATTTAAATGAATGCAGTGAGCACAAAATGTGAAACAGTATGTTAAAAATTGAAGTATGAAAAACCTTCTTTATATGTAAGGATAGCCATGCTAATTGGGAAATAAGCAATTTGTAAAAATAATCATGCAAGCTTTTTCACTCATGGCAGACCAATTATCAAGAAATTTGTAAAACTACTCTCGCGGTAGGTAATAATTTTTTTCGACGATTATGTCATAAAGTGACTTGAAGTAAGCGTATTATATTTTTGTTGACCTAAGCATTAAGAGGGCAGGTTTATCACAAGAACATGCAGTTAGTGTGAAATACAGAAAAATTGATTGCCGGGCAATTATCAAGATCAGAAGATAGCGTGGTTGGAAATCGTTAATTTGCTCTACAATCTGGTCTTTCTACAACCCAATTTATCAATAATATAGCTGGCTTTTATTTTATCATCCATTTAAGATCGTCAGAGGAAAACGTCCAGAAAAATGAAAAGATTGATATTTATTAACACGTATTGTCGGTTGTCAAAATAAAAAAATTGATAAAGTATTTAAGTCACCAACCTTTTTTTTCAGTCAAAGTGACCTATACAGATTTAATTCTTGTTTTAAAGAGTTGATCCTTCATCTGCCTGAAGCAAGACATATAATCTGATCCCAATCATTTCCTCCCCACAATGATATCATTTATCTGGATTTCATTTCTGTTACATTTAGCTGCAGGCAATAACGAAGAACATTTAAATTCCGGAGGAAGTTTATCAAGTTCTATCAAATTATTATCCAGTAGTTCTTGAATAAACCATGCTTTCGTAAATCGTGTTTTTCGTTTTACATGTTACTGTATTTTTCTGCGTCTGATGGGCCAATGAAGAAGAGCAACGCATGCATTGTTTTTTTCCAGTCTCTCTATTCGAGAATTTACACCATTTTTCGTTCTAACGACTAGATGCCTTTTTCATGTTTTGATTGAAATAATTGAAGGTGAATCTCAAACTAAGTCGGGATTCAACATCGTACCCTTTTTTGTTGGTTAATTAATGGCGTTTTCATTCTTAAATTAACTGAAGTTGTATAGAATTCTATTGCACGCGAATATCAACCCACAAAAACTTACATTGGTACATTCATTTTTTCAATTAAAATTAAGGATTATGCATCTTATATCTTCCTACATTTTTATTGTCTTGTATTTTTTTTTAATTTTGATGGAGTACCTAATGCAGAAAAGTGGTTATTGTTTCTTGTCACCAAGGATTTGAAACTCTTCAATTTTATTTGATGGATGAGCGCGATTTGATTCATCTGTACCTAACAAGTTTGTATGGTTTCTGTTTATCATGGTAAAGACATCAGAGACATATTTATGGACCACGCGAGTCATCAGTTGTGATGAGAGTGCTTTTAAATCAAACTGGTAATACATCAACCGGTTTTACAACAAAAAATTGTTTTTTATGCTTCAGAAACTATCAGGAAGAAAAAAGCAATAATTGCGACAATTGTTTGATTGTACATTCAAACAAAATGGTTCTGATGGAACGAAATGCTTTATTTCTGAAAATATCTGCAACCCAGGCTGAATTTTTTTAATCCTGTTTGTTGATTGTAGCTAGAATAATAGACATGGTTTTCAAACCAGGTTGGGTTGATTGTAAAGATGTAGTGCTAGATTCAGTAGTAACTTTGCTTGATGCAGTAGTAACAGTGCTTGATGCAGTAGTCATGACTTGACTGGTTTCAGTGGTAGCTGCTGCTGTTGGTATAGCTAGACCACATGGAATCGGTACATTCTGTCTCCAATCACAAACACCATTTGCCACACTGAACACCAATCCTGAAATATTGAATTTCTGCACAGATCTGTGATACTTTGAGGATTCCCTAAGAAAATCACAGCTTATATGGATTTCTCGAAGTTCAATAGATAAGTTTGCAAATGAATGAAAATTATTTTTGATTTATTATTGCACAGTGGCTAGGAATATGCAACCTTATATTTGTGGTGTGCCGAGGACATATTTATAGAGCACTTGTTTCACAAAACTTCACCAAGAAACCATCATGTTAACTATGCATGGACAATGCCCAATTTACAATGATGGGAATTTGAACCGGTTGATATCGATATATCAGTTGTTAAGACTATACAGTCAGTACCTACCAGCTGGACAGTAATTGTGGCCGAAGAAGACCCCACCATTACAAGTATAATAGGTATGACAGCCTTGATCTAAATCAGGATAATGACCATCAGCTTTATTGGTGCAGTCCATCATATGACCACATGGTGCTGCTACTTTAGCTGGACTGAAGGAAAATGTGTAGTTATCACGAGGACATATCTGTACGAAAACAAAATCATTGCGTAAAAGCTGAAAATGTCTATTATATAAGTGTACTAAATGTGATGTATGACCAATAAGCCGTTTATTTCATCGTGTGGAATTACTTAAAAATAAAGTTTTGATCTTAAAACTTAAAAAAATTATCCACTTAACCGTTTTATGTTTCAACTTAGTGCAGACTGCTGTCATACTTACTCGTCACAATCCTGAATTATTGAATTATACACAAGATGTTCGTGACATTCTACTCCAACTAGTTCACCATGAACACACTTCTGGAACGATTTACAGCCTAATTCATATACACCATCTGGCTCTACAGTACAGTCCAACGCTGAAACTGAAATAGACCAAACGTTACTTGAGAGGAGTAACATCTGTACACACTAAACCACCCCGAGGTGACTCTGATGGTAAACAAGATTGTCTCCAATGTGATTCTTAAAACCTATGTACTTTTAACCTCTGAGTCCAGAGACCATATTGGAATATAAAATGGCGGTCGCTAGCAAAGCAGGGAATTTTACTACACCTGATACCACAGTGTGACATGCGTTTGTCACCTAGATATCCATTAAGGAGAGTTCACATAGCCACTATTAACTGACTTGCTAAAAATCAAGGTGTATGGTACCTGCTTAAAGACCTTATTAAAGCTGATATACTTCATCAACAAAAAGAAAAAACAAACAGAGCCTAAGCAAACCTCATTCTCTTCATTCCGTATGAACTACTACTGTATGAAAGTTATGGAAAATAATATATAAACCACTCACTGATTAGGCAAAAATTAGTAACTGACCATAAAAACAACCACATTTTGAGATCAGATCTTCAAGAAGATAAGATGTCGATAACCACCGATAAGATTAAAGTTCGTATAAAATAGGTATGCTCTGCTTGACCTACTGCTGGTTCCATTGAACTCTATTCATATCTGAGGTTATATAATTGATGAATTAGGTGTTTCATATGTTTTTGTACATCTCGTTTTATAACAGAAGTTTTTTCGACGTTTGCAAGTGTTATTGCCACTTTCATATGGGTATAATGCCCAATAATCAAGTGCACTGTGGAAATTGTTTCACAAGTTGCTATTCGTATAATTTTCGACAAAGGTTTTCTTTTATGGTGAGGGATTATCTATATAGCAGATACGGGGCAGTCAAAAATAAATTAAATTTCCAAAGTCTGCCTTCACTGTACATTACGCCCCACATCGTGTTTCGTTTGCGTGGACCTTGATCAATGGTCACACAAACGAGCAATAACATTGCATTAGGTATGCATGGTTTTTGTCTGCAATATTTTAAATGTGTTGCATTAAATAAAGACCCCCCATAGTCTCCAATTAAACTTACAACGATAAAACTTAGCGTGTTCTAACTGTTTGAACTGTGCATTGTACGTCTATCATAAGATGTCAAATAAATTATTGTAAACCCAACTGCCTTTGAAAACATTCGCCATCTATTCCAATAAAGCAGATAACTGTTTTGATTTCCTGAATAATTTATGGTACCTTTGATGAAACAAGGGTCATAAAAATTTCAGAGAAAAAATCTATGTTGTGTAATAATAATTGACGTTCTACAAATTTTATTTCTGAGAGAAGTCGATAAAATCAAATTAAAACTGTCTTTGGTTATTTTCTATAGTTTAAATGTTATGGTCTGTTTTCGTTTGATTTGGTTCATCAAATGAATCTAGATTTATGTAGTTTTACGTGAATAGTGTCACCGGGAAGGCAAAGCTTGAAAACTTCTTTCAATAACTTTCATGATGCCACTGGGATTATCAACTTGGTATATGTTAGAAGGAGTCCTCATAGCTAAAGATTAATATCCCGTTGATTTTTTAGCAAGGTGTCTCTGTAATGTTTTAAATATCTAAATTATTTTCTGATCACAATGCTGTTTAGTCACAAGATAACATGCACGGCTTTCGTATAAGACATTAGATTCCATCATGTGGTTTAAAATGTCAAGGTTTCAATCGAAACAGGTGCTTGAGTCATTAAAACTCAAGCTTCAAGATCTTTAAAGACACAGGCATCCCTCATCGAATTTGAACAGATCGCAGATCTGGCAGCCAATCTATTTTAACCGTCTGGACTTGAAAAGGAACATTATCTAATTTGCTAGGCCATGTTCTTCTAATTATACTCGGAATGAAAATGTGTTTATCGGGACCATTTGATATCATTTAATTTTCTTATAGAAGCATGCATTTACTGAGATACAAAGTGGAATATTCTTACTGGTAACAGATGGTGTACAAAGGGCCATATCATCTTATAAATCTGTGAAAACATTGTTAAAGAAAGGGTTTGCGTCTCGCAGAATCTGAGGATAACCGCATCTAGGAGAAATCTCATCAATCCATGGATTTAAGGTCTGAGGTAAACTTAAATATCGTTATCTAACAAAATAAGTACTGGTCTTTCACCTTCGCTCCGCATTTGTTGCAGTCGCCTCGAGCATTTATTTATGACAATGACATCGTTTCAAGTGAATATGCTCTGAAATAAATAATTCATTCCAACATTTCTTTAATAGAATAGAAAGTTACAGAGTTTTCAGAGAGATATATATGTATATCATTGTTCAACGTTACGCCGTATACTTTTTTTCCATTTTACCCATCCATCTAAACCGCTAAGTCGTCGAAACCAATTCCTTTTTCTTTCGTTTCTAGATGCAGGTCAAGGTAGTAAGGCTCCAACATAAGGACATATGCACTTTTCCTAACTTTTATGGCGCGTTTCTTACCATTTCTATTCAATTATATAATCAATTTTATCATTTTGAGCGAAATTAGTATGTTGTTCACAATTACTGTGTCTAACTGGCCTCAAGTTACGATTTTTCTTGAACAAGCTTCATTAAGATAGCTATGTTGGTTTAAGTTGATAAAGTTTATTCGATTCAGACTGATTAAAGATCATTAAGAGTTGTCTATATATTTAAACTACTGTAATTTAATACCCAATACATTAACTTTTAATATCGGCTAAGGCTATATAGTGTCAGCTATAAAATTTGGCGTGATAATCGTGAAAGGGTATGAGATGTGAAATCATATGATATATAATTGGTACGATCCATTGCAGAATCAAGCAGTGCATACGACAATGTTCAGCATAAAAAATACCAAAGTATTCACAGGCAATGACATTATAAACGTTACACAATCAAATCTCATAGGCTGATATTTTTTAGAGATTCCTCCCATCTTATTCTGTGTGGTTAATTTTCTACTTGGCTTTTCATAAGGTTAGTAATATTACTTAAATGGCCTTCAATATTTTTTTAAACTATCCAATAAAATTTCTCCAGTGACTTTTATTTCCTTCAGCAATCAACAAAAAAAGAAGCATTATTGTGAAGTTTTTATTCCACGGAAGTAATGAGTCTTTTTCAAAAATATTGTTCACCTCGGGCAGAAAGATAATATGTTGTTATACTTTAATGAGGACTCATTCAGACACAATGATCGAGAACTAAATTTTGAAACGTGAAAGAGAGTATCTTTTTACGCGGCCTATTTGACCAAAGGGGGCCTTATCATTGTGATGCAGAGAGTGAATTAAACACGATTGATATGATTATATGAGTTATTCTTGTGCAGTGCCAACTGCGAGTTTCCTGTTAGACCATGAGATTACTTTCTGATGTACTTCCTTGTACACTGGTGATAATGGATGGTTGAAAAGCCAATATATTTAGTTAACCAGGGCCATTTTGGTATTTCTTGATGACCTGCACTAAAAACATAACCCCAATTAATAAATATTCTTCTGTCCCCTGTGTAGGAATGTCAACCCAAATTTTCACATCAGTATTTCTGTATGTGAAACTGTTGGTCTAAATGTGTTTCCAAAATAGATAAAAGTGTGACTCGGGGTGGTCGGGTGTTAGAAAAGAATATATCAAAAGCTAAATCATAGACACTGGCAATATCTCTTGTCTATTGTGGAAAACATGTATATAAATTTGATGAAAAGCAGCAGCTATCCGATCTCGAACGATCTCTTGCATGAAACAAATTCTGCAGCATTAGCTACTTGATCTCAATAATACTTCGAACGATCGGGTTCATATTAAGTATATTTAAAAAGTTCAATATATTGAAATCTTTATGACTTCTTATGCAGAATTTAGTATTTAAGGTTACCAATACCACTGTCTGAATTTGATATTGAGACAAATTTAAAGTCAGACGCTGTCAAATTGTAATAAATCTGAATTAATTAACGATGTTGCTGGTTTTGTATACGGGAATAGGTTCGAAAGGTTTTGAATGATTAACATGTATCTAATTCGAGGTGTCTGTCTCGAGTAAAAGTAACAGTAGATCATAATTAATTAGGTAACCGAAATTGATAGAACAAATATTTGCTACACATTTCAACTGTCTAGACATTTAACTGCTCACTTTTTCTTAGATAAATTATGAAATAACATATAATACCATTGACAATTCAATGATGGATGTTTTCATTGGGCGTTAAGGACGAAGTGTGAAAGTTTAACAAAAATGGTCATTGGCCATCACATCTTTTACTAGTTAGTTTAATCGTTCGCAAATGGTGATCTAAGTGAGTCGCAAAACGCTTGGTATATCGCTTCTTTTTCCTTTGGATACGATCTCTTGCGACTACGACATCATTGATAATGCCCTGTTCAGCATGAACATAAAAGTGGCATAACGGAAGGATTACCCCCACTATTGCCAATAATGACAAATACAAGATGATGTCTCAATATTGATATTGCACTGAAAACTTTCTATTTCATTTTTCTCTTGATCAGCAAGATATGTATTTGAGCCTCAGGCAGTAGTGTTTTAACCTACGCAACATGTGCAGCTCTCTAGAAATCAAAATCATCGTATTTTTTGTTCACTATCAAATAAATGAAATTTCAACTTTCTTTCCACATCGAATATATTGTCATAAGAGAAACTGAACGAGTCTATTAAGCTGCTATAGAAATCTATGTTTGTCACGTTTCAGACGAACTTTCGTTTCTAAGCGAAAAAGAAAACTGTACTGGCAGTAAATTCCAGTGTTTCTAGTCTACATTTTAAGTTCCATGTCAAGGACAGATATTAAAAAGACAATATCATCTAATGATCTTTTAGGCTTCCAATGTTCTCTTTCGCATAATTCCTATATATTTATATATAATTTCTATATATGGTAGTGTTACAAGAAATGACGACTGTCTTTTTAACTCTCAAACGAGAATATAATTCTGGACACACATGGATTTGAAGGCTAAAATTTCGATGGTGAGCTGTGAACACTATTACTGGTTGGCAAAACAAAACTAAGGTACGAATGGTATAAAAGACGCATCTGTCCAGATGTAATGAATATTTTGTACCTGAAAAACCAAACGAAGAGTAAACAAAAAAAAATATGACGTGTGGTTCTGTGTATAACATTAGGTATATTAAAAGCTTATCTTGGGACCTTTTAACGTACAATTCTCTAGTTATAACTAATATAGTTTATCAAATCCTAAATATAGTTCTTAAGTGGCCTTAATTCGAGCTTTTTAAAAAGAAAAAAAACGTCTTGAAATTTTCTATTAAATGAAACTTTGAAATGAAATGAGAAAAACAAGACTTCTGAAATTCATAAAGAAATTTTGAAATCACTTCAAACGTTATAAGATTTCAGAAACAAACAAATTTTAGAAGATATTAAATTTTGTCTAGTTTCTTCAAGTCCGTGTTTAGAACAAAAGAAATATGTACTTTTGGCTTAAATTAAATCCGTCTTCTTAAGGACATTATCACGATTCTATTGG